AATAATAATTATTATTATTATGAAGTCAGCCTATAACACCTGCTAACACATCCTGTGAATATACCTAGTACTTGATCAAAACAGCCTTTTGAATGGGATTAAAGGGAAGAAAACATGTCAAAAAACGGTGGCTCCTGAGCTGGCCGGTCAGCTCACTCGGGAGATCACTGTGGTGGTAACTAACACCAAGGTCAACGGTTTGGAACCCCCTACTGGCCAGCTGACAAACAAACAAACAAAACCCTGATGGCTTCTAGATACCTAATTGAAAAGTTATCCTTACAATTACTTTCCATTTGACAAAATTCTTCTAAAAGGCCCAAAGTTAAATAAAACAGCAATGCCGAGAAGAAACTTTAAAGTAGAATGGAAGGAATGATGAGGCCACTGTTTGACAAAATTTATTTACAAATAATGTCTAACATTTCCTTTAAATTTTCCTTTAATATTTCCTTTAAAATACTAGAATGTCCAGAGACTTAGAAAATACAAATATAAATTTCTATTACTGCTCATCTGTAGAGGAGCCAGGTGTAAATACATTTGGATATATAGGAAGATCAACACTTTCATTAAGTATGGCTTTTAAAATGCTAAAATAAGTAATTTCCACATGTACCTCTAGTCGATATGGCTGAGTAGATGGGAAAGCTACTGCCACCCAAAGAAAAAAGTATATACTAATGTTAACAGAAATGTGTTTTGTTTTTAATACAGAGTAAGGCTGACACCAAGAAAGAAAATTTCCCAATGCTACACGTGAAGTGAAGACTCTAAGTCAGAGGAGTGGGAATTGATGCCAAGAGATCAGAGGGTATCAGGGGAGGAGGTCTGAACACCTGGACTGAGAGAGGGGCCACAACGCCTGTGCGGTTGGTATGCAAGACCTGAGATCCTTGATGAGAAGTTGGAAAGGAGGTGTCTGGAAATCTCAGCCCACAGACCAAGAGATTTTGCTTGGGCACAGAGTCTCACCAGGACTGAGGATAGATACAAACACCTGTGGGAAAACAGACCTCTATTTCTGTGCTGTGTACAGGTGTGGAATCTGAGCTTGAGCTCCCCCCAAACTGTGTGGCAATCCCAAGCCAGTGATGCAAGGTAAAAGTTGTTGCAGACGAGTAAAAGTATTTAATCATAATAGGAAACTCTAAGGCTCCACAATCCTGTCTTGAGAGAGAGGCAGGGAGATTCAACAGATGCAACAAAGAGACTAGGAATACATCCAAGGGATTCCAGGTAACAGAGCAACCTAAAAAGGAACAGTAAAGTGACTGTGTTTATTGCAAAGTGATAAACGAAGACAACTGTATGTAGAAACATTCTGTTAAGTCTATGATTAAAAAAAAACAAACAAACTCATCCGACCCATATTTATTGAGCATCTACATGTGTTGGATGGTGCTCTGGATTGGGGATATGCTCTGGATGTAAATAAAAAGTCCTTGACCTGCGGGGATTCCACTCTAATGTTGGAGACAGACAAATAACACATTAAATAATGTCAGGTAATGATGAGTGCAATGAAGAAACAGAATGCCAGATAAGGGGACACAGTGATGATATGGTGGCCAAAGGAAGTCTTCTCTATGGTGGTGACATCTGAACAGATATCTAAAGACATGAAGAAGAGAAGCATTCAAATATCTGGGAGAAACCATATCAGGCAGAGAAAGTGGCTTGTATAAGGACCCAGGAGCATGCTTAGCATAACTGCAGCACAGTAAAGAATTCAGTGTGGCTGGAGAAAAAAAGGGGAGGGGGAGGGGGAGGCTGTAGACCTTGTGCTATTTTTTTTCAAAAACCACGTGTCCTGTTGATGTGACTCTAAGAACAGAGAATTATGAAAAAGACCAGATGAATTTGAACAAATCTAAATAAGATAAAAATTAAAGACGTAGAAGGTTTATTCATTGAAATAGTTTCCACAGAAAAGATCCTATATATTGAGACAGGTTTCCTTTTGCTCGCTTTCTAAGACATAAGCCATCTGTACTATTGTGTAAACAAGTCAAGTTCAATCTGGTGATACAATGCAGCTGTAATCCCAACAATTTAGTGTCTTAATAGTTTCTCAGCAACAAAACATTTTGGGTAAACATAATGTATTTAGATTACTATTAAATTACATTGTAATGCCACCACTTTAATTACTTGAACTACTACAATAAAGAGTTTTATACACTTCCTAACATATTTTCTAATAACTTGATACATCAATGGACAAAAGATCTTACTTCCCAATTAAAAAAAAAAACATAATTATCAATGTTGTTTTGTAATAACACCCTGCAACAAAGTATCCTAATACTTCCTAACATATTTTCTAATAACTTGATACATCAATGGACAAAAGATCTTACTTCCCAATTTAAAAAAAAAAACATAATTATCAATGTTGTTTTGTAATAACACCCTGCAACAAAGTATCCTAATGTGATCTTATTCAAAGTATCTAAATTAAAGTCAACCTTCAAGCAACATTTAAAAAATATATAAACTACTTTACAGTCCACAAAAGAACCAAGTACTACAGTATACAGGCTGGTTAAATTTATTTAAACACTTACAGCAAAGCATAAATGAATTTAATGATGCATGGAAGATTTTAAAGTTATTTTATGGGTTAGTATCATTACCAAATGCAGGAAAATATAAATGAAGTGTCTCAAACAACTAGAACTACATCTCAAATTAATTCTAAATGGCTTAGGCCTTTTATTTAGACTTATATCTCTTGGAAATAAAATGAATTAAAATAGTATGTGTATAAAAAATCTTAAAAGAATAAGCATAGAATCCCAGCTAAATAACACATGCAATAGGGGCCATAAACCTAAGAATAAAGCATATATATGTGTATTTAACATCATATCATCACACAAACTAAGTAGGGTCTTTCACTGCATAAAGAAAAGGAGAAAATAAAAGACATTGATGATCTGGTGTTACAGGCACATAGCCAGGTCAATAACTAGTAATAACATTATCATTTGGGGGTCAGATTCTGAATATTTTGAAAACAAAAATCCCTATTTTAATGACCAATGTTTCAACATTAATAAGATTACATGTATAGCAGTTTAGTTACTCTCCTGTCCACTTTTCAATATGAACTATTTTTAACGTTAAAAAGATGCAAAAAAAAAAGTATCAACACTAAAGTTGAAGTTTTTGAAAGCAGCTGGATGACTTGGAAATAAGCTTTGATTTTTAAGACAAAAGTCCTCAGATGCCCAGATGACTTCAGAATCATTTATTTTTCCCCCAACTCAAATGATACTTAAAAAATGCAATGAGGTTTTTAAAAAATTAACAAGATACCTACCATGATTAAATGCACATACTCGTACATACATAAAATGTAAATCCCTATAAAAACGATTTTCAATACTGAAATATGTAACCAAAAAAGGGCTTAAAACAAATTAAAACACAATCATCTGCTATAGAATTTTAAATATTTATTTCCAATAGGATAGTTATGTAATTTGTAGTGGAAAATTTATGAAAAAGTTTAGTTCATTAAGAAGTGCTATTAGAAAAGTGAAGGTGCCAAAAGAGGCTATTTTTTCAGGACAGAATTACATCTGGAAAGTCTTGTCTCTTTGTGCTTTTCAGAAATGAATAATAGCAACTAGAAAAATAATAATTTCCCATAGCATCCAATGATTTTCCATAGCAAAATAAGCTTTTATAGTAAAAAGTTACCACAATGTTTGCATTATGTATGATACAAATGAACATATTTATTAAACTATTCCAACAATAAAGTGCTATATTCTTGAGTGTCCAATCAAAGGAAATAATCAGCTATTTAAACAGAAACAAATTCTACATCAAGAAAAAGAAAAGCAAGGAAGGAATTGGTAAAGGGCCACAAAAATGATTACATTGTATAATGCTGAATATACTAATTATCCTGATTTAAGCATCACATATTGCACACAGGTGTGTATATATATATTTATAAATATTTTTTAAAATATATTCATATATTTAAATATATATATATATATATAATGAAATGCTTTGGGGAGTCCTATATATAGGGAAAAAAAGGAAAGCATGTGAATGTACATTCACATGAGAAAATGAGATACAAAAACGTTTCTTTCGGGCCGGCCTGGTGGCGCACTGCTATAGTGCGCCGCTTGGGAAGTGCGGCAGCGCTCCCACCGAGGGTTTGGATCCCACATACAGACCGGCCGCTCACTGGCTGTGCGAGGGGCGGGAGCAACACCGAGGGTTGCGATCCCGTGGCCGGTCCCAGTCCGGTACGGGCGCGACACTGAGGGTTGCGATCCATTGCCGGTCACGAAAAAAGACAAAAAGGAAAAAAAAAAAAAACGTTTCTTTCCACTAAACTTCGTACTTTGTAATGTTTTCAGTAGAGCTGAACTAATAGATTAATCTTTGGGCACTGTATCCAGAATGTCCCAATTAAAACATATAACAATAATACCCAGAATTTCAAAAATAAGTGGATG